AAAGATCGATCAGCTGCCTCCTGCACACCCCCCACTGGGGATGTGCCTGCAACCAAGGTACATGCCCTTGACCGGAATCGAACCTGGGACCCTTCAGTCCGCAGGCCGACGCTCTATCCACTGAGCCAAACTGGTTAGGGTGACATTTGTTTTTATTTCCTTAAATTCCTTGAAGTGAAATTAATGGCTAAAGTGTGTGACAGTATGAGATATTATGCCAAATGCTGTCCAAAAGGATTGCACCTCCTTTGCTGCAGCCACAAGTGTCTGAGAACACCCTTATCACCACCATGCTCTGGATATTGCTCTTTTGAATCTTAGAGATGTTGTCCATGTCTGCTAGCATCATAGTCTGGCTACAGCATGGCCTACCTGACATAGCTCCTGGTCACCACCCTGAGCCCTTCTCCCTCACATTCTCCTTGTCCCTGATGTTAACCCAGCCCAGTCTTCAGGTCCTGTTAGGTTTGACTTCCTGACCCATCTCTGGTCTGTCCCTTTCTCCTCATTCACCCAACAAGGATGAGGTCGATTTACTGTATAGAAATGTTTTCTAGCTCTTTGACCTCCCCTGCCGCTTTGCCTTCTCTCTAGAAGACCTAAGACCTCTGTGGTAGCTTCCCACTTTGGTTGGTTCTCACATATTTCCTGTCTTTTCCTTGTGCTCTTCTCTCCCAGTTCTACAGCGAGTCAGGCATGCCTACCAAACACCTCTCGGACAGCATGTGTGCCGTGTGTGGGCAGCAGATCTTTGTGGATGTCAGTGAAGAGGGCATCATCGAGAACACGTACAGGCTGTCTTGCAATCACGTGTATCCGTCTGGAGCTCCTGGGTCTCATGCACACTGCAGTCAGGGAGGGAAGGGGGCATGCTGCCCGGCCTTTGAGTGTAGGAGAGTCACAAGAGGGTAGACATTTGGGTGATGTTCAGTGTTAGAGGCGCTGACACCCAGGAGTAGAAAATGCATCCTTGCTCGCTCTTTCCCACAAATGGGAGCCACTCTTATGTAAATGGTGTTCATAGCCTGGCAGATCAGGAAGGAGCCTGAAGCTGCACTAGGTGCCCCAAGGTTGGAGGGTCACAGGAAGAGCATACTCTAATTGGATTCCTCAGTTTCAGAATCAGATCCCCCTGAATAACTCTTCTTTAAAAAAAAAAAAATAAAAAAT